GGCTCTACAAGCAAGGGCTTGCTCTAACTCTTTGAGGGCTTCAGGTCTCTGAGGATTCTTACAAGAGCAGCAATGATAGGTACGTCTATTGCTGTAGAAATATTGACGCTAAGTCTCAACTTCATTTGGGTCACAACTACATTGAAAAGTCTGATTTTTATACTTGAAAGGGGCTATAGGACAATCTACTGCAATATGTCCTAATGAATTACACTCATGACAAGTATTATGGGGACACAACCGATAGAAATGCTCAAAACTTTGGCAATTCTTACAGGTCTCTCTACGAGGGGCTTGGAGTTGACAATGTATGGCTATATGTCCTGTCTAGTGGCATCGGTTACAGATATTATAAGGGTAATTAGCGAAAAGATGCTTAGGGGATTTGCAATTACCACATACTTGACGAGAGGTAGTACATTGACGAGATTGGTGGATAGTCCATCCTTCGTTGTCTGTTTCTTGAGCTGATTTTGGAAGGTTAACAGTATAAGCTTCATGAGGTGTAAGATATTTCTGTTCAAATAGCTCAAGTTCTTTAGAGTCGGTTACGGTAGGCTGAGTAGGTAAGGGGTGGTTACTTTCATAGGTAGTTGGAACTGAGATTCTTTTATTCTTCCACTTAAAGGAATAACAACCATTATTCCAGTTATAGCTGGCTCCAACTTTCTTAGACCAATCATTACCAAGAAGTAATGAATAAGAGGTAGCTGGGACAACCTCTACAGTAATTGGGATGGTAACTCCTTCTATTTCTACAGGAAGGTCTTTAATAATTCCAAGAGGGCGTGTAGAAGTACTAGTTGCTATAACAATTAAACTGGTAGAAGCTTGCTCTATTTTAAGGTCTAATTCTTTAATGGTCTGGTGGGCAATCATACTGATAGCAGCACCGCTATCAATAATTGCTTGGTAAGATCTTTTCTAAGACGAATGTTACATTTAACAGGAGTAGTGTGGGAGGTAGTGAGAAGGTCAGTCTTTTTAGCTTCTTTATAAAGATAGGCAGACATAGCTATGCAGATAAAGGGGTTGTCGAGGAAGTGTTCTCACTTGTTATTAGAAGGAACTGGGGAGGCTGAAGATGGAGTACTATCATGACTAAGGTAGTTAATGTCTTTACGATAAGGTGAGGGAGAGTGGAAGCCAGTTCTCCTACTATTATTATTATAAGAGTCTGAATATCTGCTACTTTCTCGAGAATTTTCTCTAGAATTTCTTCTATCTCATGAATATAAGAGCGATCACGGCTACGAAAACAAGATCTTCTACGTTCATCTCTTCTGTAATCATCTCTCCTATAATTATCTCTCTTCGATCATCTCTAGATTTTTGCTCTGCTTGTCTGGTCCTACATTTGGCTATAAGATGTTCAGTTCGTCCACAATAATGACAATGACGAGGCTCTTGGTTCTGAGAAGTATTTGTACTAGAGGTAGAAGCATAGTTGGTAGATTGGACTTGGGGTGGCTGCTGTTGTTGGGCTAAGTTGATACTAAGCTTAGAAATCTGGTCTGTCAATTGTCTAATAGCTTGGTCTGTTTCTGATGCTGATTGATTAGCCATAATATGTTTTGTTTCCCATCATTTAGCGATAACCATGGTAGCACCTTCATCAGCAGGCTCACTAGCTTGAACATTGATAGCAAGCTTAGGGCGTAATCTTTGGATAAAAAGCTGCTTAGTAAATCCTACTGGGAAGCATTTGTGAGATCAACTCTTTTCTTTAATGTTCTAAAACGGCTAATATAGGCGTCTACAGTGTCTGGTCCTTGTTTAATCTCGAAAAATTGTTTTTGCCAAAGAGCTTTCTGCTTGGTAGTGTGGAAGCGAGTTCGAAAAAGATGCTTGAAACTTTGGCCAGCATTACCAGGATCATCAAAAGCATTGGGTGCAGGGTTAAGGCTTCGGTACCAATCAAGAGCAACTCCTTTAAGGTAAACTAGTACAAGCTCAAGTTCTCGTGCAGCTGTCCATTTATTAGCAATGCCAGCTTGATGAAATTCATCTAACCACTCTTCTGGATCTTGGGATCCATCTTCTAAGAAGGAACTAACGGGTAGAAGAGTCTTTTCACTACCTTGCCCTAATGCAGCTGCGAAAACAGTTATAGCATTGGCTGCCTGGGTTAAAGCTTGGTTAGAGCCTGGGGCTTGCTGTTGTTGTTGCTGTGGCTGCTGTTGTGGCGGATGCTGTTGCTATTGCTGTTGCTGATTCATGATTAAGATAGGGAAAGGTGAAGCTGAGAGGGTGTAGTTTGAGTTAGGATTATCGTCTAGAAGTTCTGAGGTTTCTAAATCTTCGATATTTTCTAGAGGCTATTTAGCAGGAGGGAGTAAGTCTTGTTGGGATAAATCTAACTGAGGAAACTCTGGCTAAGAATAATAAGAACTTGAAGTATTATCTGGAAACTCAGTAGCTCCTAAAGATGCAGTTGTATAATTTTCTACGTCGAAGACGTGATTGTCTAAATATTGATAAGGTAGGGGTGCACTAGGGGTATAAGCACTAGTAGAAGGTTCACTAGTGGTAACTTCTTCACTATAGGGAAGTAAACTATCTTCTGGGTGAGTTAATAAAGGGGTACTATCGAATACAGTTATACTATGGTGATGGCCTGGGGGTGC